CTACAAGCCTTTCTATGCGTAATAAGTGGGTACAAGTTATGTATACTTGGAGTAAACAAACAATCGATTATGCGCATCTGCCCTCAACCTACAACCCGACGGGGTACAGTAAGTAAGGCAGATAGCACATATTCCATTGGTTGTTAGATCATTATCATATATAACCTTGGTGTATTCACTTGTTACTCATGGAGTTATTTGTAATGGTTCCTTTATGTCTAATGAAGAGTTCCTTTTAAGAAAACCTATATTTCTTATAATAAAATATTGACTATGGTGATTACTTTTATAATAGCTTTGTTTATACTGCTATATATAATTTGGTATCGGGTAGATAATAGATTGGGTGACCTCGGTGTAAACCCACATCCAACGGGAACATGACGTACAACGAAGAACACACACCCTATTAGTTGTCAGATATTAGTCTTATATATAAACATGGCGTATAAACTAAGGTGTTATAGAGTTAACTCACTTAAAGCCCTTTTAAAACTGTACTGCTTAGTAAAATGGATTAAGCCCTTTCTGGGAAATCTCTAGTTTTGTCTATCAAAAACACTGACTTTGATAAGTAAGTTACGTACTAGAAAAACTGTGCTTTGACTCTGTGTTATAACCTGATCCATACTTGGTACCCTTATGATGACTTAATGTATACTAAGCATAAATATATATAGATTCGGGTAGATAATAGATTGTGGGAACTCAGTTCAAGACCCCAATCCAACGAGAACAGGCAATGAGGCGGAGAACACACATCCTATTAGCTGTCGGAATCTATTAGCATATATATATATATATATATATATATATATATATATATATATATATCATATAGTGTATACATTAAGGAATCATAAGATTAGCATTATGGTCCTAACCTTTAAAAGTAGCCTTCTACCAAGACTCGACTGTTTGAAAGCAGTCTTCTACCAAGACTCTACTGTTCCTTTGTCAACTTTAAAAGTACATTCTCCCTAGTTTATAACCTACCTCGATTAGAGAATAGATCAACCTTCAAGTGTTACTGACACTTTATGAAAGTAATGGGAGAAAGTGAGTACCCTGATGTCGTTTATAATGACATGCGGATGTACTATTAACCTAAAAACATATTTGTTTTATTACGGTCATAATGTGAAAGCTGGAACCCCTACTAACCGCTCTCATGTATGGAGATTGAGGGAACCAAACGCGACCCGAGCAAATCTATGCAAGCCGTGTAATTCACATTAAAGTTAGATCCTGTCTGTGTGTTGTCATGCTGTAGCAAATTTACTTGTTTGTTATGTCTGTTCTGGTATTGTTTGATTCTCTTCACTTGTTTGTTCTGTTCTGTTTTGTTCTGTTCTGTTCTGTGTGTGCTTCATTGAACTAGAAGTAATGAATATCATTCTTTTAAACTATACCTATAATAGTTTACTAATGCTCTAACTGGACTGTTACTGAAAAGACTCATTTATCTACAAAGTTATGCTTATACTTTAAAAATGGAGTTTTGTATAACTATAAAGTAACATAACCTTTAAAAGAGTTTTGAAATGTTTTAACAACTTATAAATAACATAAGTAACATTTTGAAAGATGTTTATAACAAACATTTACACAATTATCATTATGTTCAACTTGTATTCCCTCCCTAAAACAATTAAAATAGTTAAAAGATTCATTACGGGGTATGAACTCACCTGATGTGGCTGATTCAAACGGGTATGCGTGTAAGGATGAGAAGTTCCACGAATGAAGTCCCAAGACACAATAAGTCCTAAATTACATATAAGGACACATATTGACATGAATATAGTGTTTATAACAACTACATGAAAGGAAACACCTTCCGGGACTAGGAAACACCTTGACCAAGTGTTGGAATCACATGTGATTCAACATAGGAAGGTATAAAGGCACTTAAATGAGTTTACTACCATGATTTCATGGCCCAAGGGAGTTTACGGCCGTAAACTCATGGTTACTCATGGGTTAGTGCAAGTTTGAAGTCTAGGGGGTGATTTAGGGACATTAGCTTTAACCTAGGATGAGAAAGACCTTTTCTTTTGGCACTTTTGGGGTGTTCACGGCCCAAATGAGTTTACAACCATAAACTCATGGCCAAATATGTTTATGAGGGTCCTAAAGGTCATTAAGAAGCATTCTAAATTCATGCCTAAGCCCTTGGAAGTGTTTGTGGCATCAAAACACCTCTATTTTGAGTTTACGGCGCATGGACCATTTGGTCATGTGTTTGCGGCCGTAAACACTTATGAGTGATGATATTTTGGTTGTTTTAGGTCCTAAACACATCTAGGTAAAGTTCTATGCTTGTCTCTTGGGTTATGGAAGGCATTTAGGGCATTTTGGCACCCTAAAATGGAGTTCACGGCCCAAGAACTTCCTTGGCTATGAACTCACTTTTGGTCCTTGATTTTAAATGATTTTGATGCCTAAAAATGTCAAGGTTTGTCCCATGTTTAGTTTCCAAGGTTTAGGGGTCATTGGGCACACTTTGGCCCTTGAAATGGAGTTTACTCCCTAAGTTGTTCTTGGGCGGTAAACTCACAGATCTTGGTGTTTTCCTATGATTTCTAGTGTATTAAGCATATATAAAGCTTTAAAACAACACTAGATAGAAGTACTCACTTTCCGAAACAGAAGTCCGAAGATCCTTGAGAGAGAATTTGGCTTTTCTCTAGTTGGAATTGTAACTAATGAATTATTTGGTTCAGATTCCTATATATAGTCCTGGGATTTTTGGCAGAAAATATTTTATTCCCGGAATGAACTCTAATATCATAGACTTTTGGAATAACAGAGTTGCACAAAACCCAAGTGCAACCTCTCTCCTGATATCTCCTTAAGTGTAAATCCTGAATTGCTCAAACTTATCCCAAAAGTTTGAAAGTTAGCAGAAACAGACTTGGCTTCTATTGAAGTGGTTGGTTTCACTTAATGTAAATTTTTGGGTTGTGACAATTGTTGTACGGGAAAGGAACTAGAAGAGCACTAGTTAACCTATGTATGATTGAGGTGAGTACGTGTTGGCATTTTTCTATTTTGGGGTACATGGAAAAATGGTTTTATGATAATAAACCACTAATGTTTGATATATGAAATGTTTTTAAATGAAAGTGTCAAATGTTTTTGGAAAATATAATTTGAAAGATTGCCATGAAGGCAATAATGTTTTTGAAAGTAAAGAACATTTTCGAAGATTGAATGTTCTGAAAAGGTGTCTGAAATGTTTTGAAATATAGATGCTTTACTTTTGAAATGAGTATTTTGATAATAACATATGAAATGTGTAAAGCTTGGAAAGTAATGACGAGAAATGGAAAATAATGAGAAGAAACTAAAAGTAATGACAAGAATCAGAAAGTAATGAAAAGAAAACTGTCAGTGCCATGATACCTAATAAGAGGCACTAGAGGAATCTATCGTGGTGACGCCTCCCTTCGCGATATCCTAATGGAAATGATATCTTGGTGGATTGATTTGTTCTTTCAATCTTGGTCTAGACTTGTAAGTGGTTACTTTATTGGACGTAGACCTTGAGTATAAAAGTGACAATTGTTTAATACCAGAATTAGCCCTTAATGATAAAAGAGAATGAATTGTGGAAAGATGTCTTTTGAAATGAAATGAAAAGATAAGATATGAAATGATATTTATGATGTGTATGAAAAGAGTTTTCCTTGAAAATGTTTGAAATGTTTTATGGTCTAAAACTATGTTTTGCAAAGATGAATTTTTTTTTATGTAAATGTGATAAATGTTTTGGGTCTCAAACTCACGTAGCTCACGAGACATTATTGTCTTACATAAATCTTTTAATGTCATGTATCTTAGGTTACAGTTAAGGAGAGAGGATGATAGATGAAAATTAGAAGTCCATAGATAGAGAACGGAGTCGAACTTGTTAACTTTCTTATTTATTGTATTGATGTAATTTTTATTTGATTGCTATGGTTTGTGTAATGCTTAATGGTAACACCCGATGCTTATAAATATTTTTTTGTGGGACTAGTTTTTGTTAAATGTGGGTTATTACCCAAAAAGATTTAAAGTCATAGCATTTTAAAGTTTGAAAATTTTAGAGTGTTATATATATATATATATATATATATATATATATATATATATATATATATATATATATATATATATATATATAGGGAAGTGTTATTTGGAAAATAAAAAAACCCTAAAAATCATAAAAATGCATAAAAAAATACTTAGAAATTACAATTTTTTTTAAAAAAAATTTATAAAAAAATCGCAGGTTTTTTAATAAATTCTTTGAAAAAAAAAACAATTTAAAAAAAAAAGAAAAAAAATTAAAAAAATCTTTTTTTTTTTTCAAAAAAAAAATCATATAATTTATTTAAAAACCTGTGTTTTTTACTTAAAAAAATTTTAAAAAAAATAGTATGATATCTAAGTATTTTTTTTTTTTATGTATTTTTAGGGTTTTTGTTTTTCATAGAACTTAAACCTATATATATATATATATATATATATAGAGAGAGAGAGAGAGAGAGAGAGAGAGAGAGAGAGAGAGAGAGAGAGAGAGAGAGAGAGAGAGAGAGAGAGAGAGAGAGAGAGAGAGAGAGAGAGAGAGAGAGAGAGAGAGAGAGAGAGAGAGAGAGAGAGAGAGAGAGAGAGAGAGAGAGAGAGAGAGTTTTAACCTAGTGAAGGACAAGCTAATATATCGTTTTTTGACCAAGGAAGATAAAATTGACTTGCATAGAAGGAGCACATAACCACACACTCACCCGCACGTAGCGCCATGTACCTTTACATGGCTTCCCTTTATACAGTGGAAAAAAGGTTAAAAACACCAAACAAGTCTCTAGATTACTCCTCCTTATCAACATCACCATCCATTCCCCTCTCTCTCTCTCTCTCTCTCTCTCTCTCTCTCTCTCTCTCTCTCTCTCTCTCTCTCCATATATGTATATATAAGCTTACCATTTCTCTCCATCCTGTTCTTCATCACCACCATGACTGACCCTTACTCTTCAAATCTATACTCGCAGTACTTCAGATTCGATCAATTCTGCAATAATTCCGCTACAAATCTTCCTCATCATATTCAGTATAACCTTCACGAACAACACCCTCAAAGCTACCACTACTACAACAGTACTGCCCAATCTTCTTCATATTCTAACACGAGAATTACTAACAGTTTCTACTTCAATCCATCGACTTCTGTCACTAATCGGCATCCAACCCCTCCACCTTCTCCTCCTCTCAGAGAAGCTCTCCCTCTTTTGAGCTGGAGTCCATCAAGAAAACATGAAGATTATCATCAACCTTCTTGCAGTAGTACAACTCATCAAGATATGGATGTGGAGGCCGTTGATGGTACTGGTGATGAAGAAGATGATGAAACAGCTGTAACTGTTGCACTGCATATAGGGCTTCCTAACGCAAGTGCTGCTGATCTTGCATCTTTAATCTCAAATTCAACAAATTCTTCGTCTACAACTTCTGAGATAAGGGTTCCTTATAGCATCAATGATAAGACTAAAGAGGGAGATGGAGATGAAGGTAATCTTGGGTATAACCCTATCAGCAGACTCAACAAGGGTCAGTACTGGATACCAACGCCCTCCCAGATCCTTATTGGCCCTACACAGTTCTCCTGTCCTGTTTGCTTCAAAACCTTCAATAGATACAACAACATGCAGGTTGTTACCTAATAATTATTATCAAAACCTCTTCTTTTGTTTCCTTCGTTCATTAGATCGAGAAAAAGTATCCTTCTTTTTCATTATTTTCAGTTCCATATTGAACAGTTGATTCAACCTCTTGGTTAGGATTAAATTTGCTCGACTTCATTAAGATTTTCACATACATATATATGCGAGTGTTTTTCGAACATATATGTTCTTTAAACTAAAACCAAGATGATTAGAGATCAATCAAGAAGTTATATTGATGATTTTAATTTGCAAAAGACTGCCCACATGGGGTTTGTTTCACTTTTGCTGGAATGGAGTTTTAAGATACGTTAGATCTCTTCCTGATTTCTATCCGTTTGTGCGTTGAATGTGTCAAGCTGGTATTGAAGTGTGCTCTTTAATTGCTTGAATAATCTATTAATCTGCATGGACTGCAGATTTTGGGATCTGAATTTCATTGAACTGAACTCAGGCTTAGAAACAGTTGTACCCTACAAATTTAATTGATTTAACTACACAGTCAATGTTGCCTTCTGCTTTTTAGTATTCATGGAAATCTGTGCTTTTGAATAGGACACAAGTTTACATCTTTTACATGTTTTAACCTCATCTTTCAAGATTTTCATCTCTCTCTCTCTCTCTCTCTCTCTCTCTCTCTCTCTCTCTCTCTCTCTCTCTCTCTCTCTCTCTCTCTCTCTCTCTCTCTCTCTCTCTCTCCATATTCTTTTGTAAATGATATTACGAAAAAGCCTTCATTCAAGCAAGCAAGATAACACTGGCTGAGTCCCAAATATGTTGAATTAGTCGCAAGTATTGGTCTTCATGGGTCGCTAGTTTTTAATATGGTTGATGCTCAGAAAAATATAAAATTAGTCGCTAAAGGCTGCAGGCACTAGATTCTGCGATCCAAGCATATAAACTTTAGCTGTACATAGTTGAATTATGATATGATGTACAATTTGTTGAATTAAAGTGTGTTTGTTTTTGATCAATTAACTTATCTGATTGGTTTCATACTGTAGATGCATATGTGGGGGCATGGATCTCAATACAGGAAAGGCCCAGAATCTCTAAGGGGAACTCAACCAACTGGCATGCTAAAGCTACCGTGCTATTGCTGTGCACCGGGGTGTCGCAATAATATTGATCACCCACGATCAAAGCCACTGAAAGACTTTAGAACCCTCCAAACACATTACAAAAGAAAACATGGAATCAAGCCTTTCATGTGTCGCAAATGTGGGAAAACTTTTGCAGTTAGGGGAGATTGGAGAACGCATGAGAAGAACTGCGGGAAGCTTTGGTACTGCATTTGTGGTTCGGATTTTAAGCACAAAAGATCACTCAAAGATCACATTAAAGCTTTTGGCCATGGACATGCAGCTTATGGTATCAATGGATTTGAAGAAGATGATGAACCCGCATCAGAAATCGAGCAAGATGATGATGAGAATTTATGATCCTAGGTAAGAGCAATCCATCAGTTAATCTTCTTCATTTCCTAGGAAATATTGTTGGATACCTTGTAACTATTTTTTAGTATTCAACCAGTTTTGGTTATGCTTGATTAGATCCCTTTGTAAATTCATTTTGATGCAAGCTTATCTATTTTCAGTCGTTTTCCTTTTCAAGTTAATAATTAATCCGAATGATGATTATGTTTTCTAGTAAAGGTTTTTGTGGTTTCATTGAAAATTAATTAAACGCCATATTTGTAATATTTTAAAACAACTCTACGATAATTCGTATTCTCTACTCTTTCACATTTTAGTATTTTTTATTTTAGTTCATAATCGTTTAACTATAGAAAATAAGTTTGAACATTTAAGCAAACAGGACCGGAAAATCGGCCATAGTTACCATACCAGGAAAACAGAAACAAGAAAATCAGTGGACAAAGGCAATACGGGAAACACAGTCCCATAAATTATGGAAAAGTTCTTCAGAGAGTTCAGAACTAGTGTATGGTATTTTTAAATCTCAATGGATTTGATTCATCATAACAAATGCCTGATACCTTAATGCAAATATATACACAACTTTATTATAAAATTATACATTAATTCATATATATTATAAAAATTAAGTTAGGTTTAAATTGAGTATTTATTTACTTTCAACCGAAAAGCACTGTGCTGAAACACTGTAGTACTAGTAGACCTAATTTTATCAAGATACAAACTTTAGTCCAGGTTCAAACCAGATGCGACTTTAATTCGCCAGTCTTGTTTCCTTATTTATGAATTTGTATCTTGCACATATATATATATATATATATATATATATATATATATATATATATATATATATATATATATATATAATATCTATATTTAGTTATTATGATCAACCTTTGGGATTGTATTTTTACATTGATCTTAAATTAGTAGCATAAATCTTCAAATTAGTGAAAAAAAATTATAAATTGTTAATGATCTAGATGTTAAATAGGGGTCCCACTCATGGTGAAGCTCAACCAACACGTGCCATATAAATATTTGTGTCGTCTTTCTCAACCCTAACCCACATTAACCATAAACAAGTCAACCCACATAACATGTTTAATTATGCGGTCCGTGGATCAAATTCAGGTCCATGGTTTAGATTCAGATTTGTGGAACGGATTCAGGTTCGAGGGTCAAAATCTGGTTCATAGATATAACAAAAAAAATGTCTAAAGCCCTATTTGATTTCTTACTGATTAGGTTAGGTCAAACTTTTTGGCTGACTCGGTCCAATTAGGATGTTTGATAACTAAACTTAAGCCTCTTACCTGGTCTATATCTTTAATTTGGTCATTAAAAAACCTCTTACCTGGTTCTTAAAGAAAATATAGCCGACTGAGATTAAAAGTATTAATCAAGTAATAAAACAAAATTCTTGTTTTATACGTCTAAAAACGTGAGTCGTGTGATACCTATGAAAATACACATTTTATTTAATTATGATGATGAAGTGTGTATAGTTAACCGACATGTCATTATGAGAATATAAGTTAAATTGAGAGTCGCTCGGGAAATTATTCTGTTAATGGAATGTGTATGGTTAATCGACACGTCAATGTGAGAATAATTTTGTGTTGATGGTCCAACATTTTTTTGTGGTTGATTCTGATGAGTTTTATAGGTTACAAAAACTATGTGCTTGCGAAATTTCACTTAACACTTAATGGCACATGCAACCAAATGAACCTATGTCATTACACTTGAATGTAACATACAACAAACAACAAAAACTAACATGAACCCTAATGAAACCCTAGTTGACGCAATGGTCCTATTTATAGCTGCCAGGAAACAATAGAAACCCTAAATTTGAACATAGAATAATATATTTCGAGTTAGATAATTATATAGTTTCCTAATTATCATTTGGAGGCTTCTAGAAACCCAAACTAGGACCTCAAAACCATCCGTATGATAAAAGGTTTCTTGATCCTCTCAATTGTTCAACTATTGAACAATTACAACTCAATTCTTTCATATTTAATCAATTCCAAATAATCTCGAATTAATTTCAGATTGATTCTGAATAATAGTTAACCAATTCTAATTGATTACACATTAGTTAATAATATAAATTAACAAATTAATTATTTAACAATTGATCTCACATTAATTTATTAATCACATATTAAATCAACAAATAAATGGTCTATTTTCAATTAATATATTAATCATATAATATATTATTAAATCATTTATTATTATTGATTAATCATATAATAAACTAATAAATTTATTATCTCTCTATAAATGTCATTCTAACTAAGTTCTACTTATGAGGGCGATCCGAAAAAGACTTTGCTTCTAATTACAAGAATATATCAATATAGTTATGAGCTTAGACTCCTTAATTCAATAGTCTCCTACTTGGATAAGTCTATAACTACAATTGCAAGTATAACTGTAACAACCCGAAAATCATGACATAAAAATTTTTGTTTTTAGATTAATAAATCGTTAATTCATGTCTTTCCCTTAAAATAAGAGTAACTAAGTTTTAGCAAAACATCGACAATTAAGAGTAGTTCTCAAAAGGCAGAAACATGCGGTGTGTGCCATGCAATTATCCCGAGTTCTTCCATTTGAAAACCATAGTACTTGAAACATAAATTAAAAACCGTAAGCACAAAGCTTAGTGAGATTCCAAAAATACCATACACATACATCCACAGATTATCATGCAACGTACATAAAGTTGCCATGGGCTCCCCCCATGGTCTTTATATGGTATGACATCGGCTCCCCCTATGATCTTTACCTAGAATGCCATGGGATCCCCTATGGTCTGATAACCAAGTGTCATGGGCTCATATCGTGGGCTCCCCTAATGGTCTGATATCTAGGTGTCATGGGCTCCCCCTATGGTCTTCACATAAAACAATCTATACCACAAAGCATACAATTGCATATCAACTAATTACTACATATCAGATAGTGAGCCAACATTGGTGCCTTCGACCCTTGGATATTGTGAGAAGACTCACCTCAAAGATAGCTAAATCCTATGAATGTTGCGGCTATTGCGAATCGGCTCTAAACACCGAGCCAAACCCAAAGCTAAGCTTAGAAAGTAACGATGGCTAGATACAAACCCTAGGCTCATAAATGGCCCAACTAACTAGGCCCACTAATGATCCAAGACCATTGGTCCTACTAAGGCCCTAATCTATCGGGCCCATTAAGGCCCAATATGCAATCCTAGGCCCAACAGGGCAAGCCCAAACAAGAAGTCCAACACTCCAAGGAAACCTTCAGTTTAAACTAAGCCAAACAAACAATACCTAAACCAAGCTCAAAGCTCAAGAGTCTAAAAGATGGCCCATGGAAAAAGACCACTGATGGACCGAACGTTGGGCGTTCCCTTGTGGAACACTGTGCGTTCGTCACCAGCCATTAGATTGCGAACCTTAGCCTGAACGTGGGGCGTTCCTCGACCCAATGCTAGGTGTTCGCATGCTGACCTCCAAAAATGATTATTAAGCACTTAATGCTTAGCGCCACAAGACCAAAACATAAATCCAAGACCTAAAGAACATCTAGAACCATAAAGTCACTAACTTGGTGAATTTACATGCCCCAAAAGGTCCCACTTCAAGGAAACCTTCAGTTCAAACTAAGCCTAAACAAGAAGTCCAACACTCCAAGGAAACCTTCAGTTCAAACTAAGCCAAACAAACAACACCCAAACCAAGCCCAAAGCTCAAGAGTCCAAAAGATGGCCCATGGAAAAAGCCTACCGATGGATCGAACGTTGGGCGTTCCCTTATGGAACACTCTGTGTTCGTCACCAGCCAACATATTATGAACCTTAGACGGAACGTTGGGCGTTCCTCGGCCCAACGATGGGTGTTCACACGCTGACTTCCAAAAATGATTATTAAGCACTTAATTCTTAACACCACATGACAAAAACATAGATCCAAGACCTAAAGAACATCTAGAACCATAAAGTCACTGATTTTGTGATTTTGCATTCCCCAAAAGGTCCCACTTCAAGATATAGAATTCAAATTCCATAAAAGGGCTTAATCTCATGCATGGGGCTTATACAACTCTAAAGATGCAAACTTTAAGAATCTAGAGCCACATATATACCAAGAGGAGCAACTAAATCTTCTGGAGTGATCACATACTACCAGACCTCAACTATGGGACCAAAAAGGGACTAAAATCCTTTAAGGCTTAGATCTAAGCTTCTAATGAGCAAGGTTAGAGCTTTATACCTCAAATGAACTAAAAATGGAGCAGAGAACCAAGATCTATAAGCTCCTACTTGAACCACCACCTTGCACCAAGATTTTCTTCCTTGAATGGGCTTCAAACACACACAATGAGATCACAACACTCTTGGAGACTCTAGGGTTTTGAGATTAGGGTTTGGGAGTTATGGAGACTAGAAATGAGGCCAACACTTGGGACTTAAGGTGTTTAAATATGTCTCAAATTGATCTCCGCGCGTAAACTCCATGTATTCCCCAATGGAACGCGTCGCGTTCGAGCTCCGCCTCTAAAAGTCCAAACTTGGCAAAAATGGTCCTTCCTCCCCCCTCAAACTTGCAAAACAAGGCCAGAAAGTAATAACATAATATATTAGGGACCAAAAATGAATAATACATGGATCGAGCATTACAATAACCTTGAACAAAACAACAAAATGTGCTTTTCAAAGCCACCTCCAAACTATGATTCAAATCAAACGTTAGCATAAAGACAAGTTATCAATTATTCCTTTGTTATTCAAGATATCGTATGAACAAAGTCGTGAATTAAATGATCATCCTCATGTTCATTTATTGTGTTTCCTAATTTCCTGAGTTGTGATTAAATTCGGACTATAAAATTACACACATCAATTTCATTCGAACCAAGCCTGGAATAACCCTTTATAACTTCCAATTATAAGATGCATTTGAGAAAACCAATGCACACCTGATTTGTAAACTATGAACCAGATA